TATAGAAGATTCATTAAGGATTTTAGTAAAATTGCTTTACTTCTTTCCAATCTACTACAAAAAGATGTTGATTTTCAATTTGACCATGAATGTGAGCTTGCTTTTGATGAATTGAGGAATAGGTTAGTTATTCCTCCTATTTTGACTTCTCCCAACTGGGATTTGTCTTTTGAAATTTTTTGTGATGCTTTTAACTTAAGTGTGGGGGCAATGTTGGGTCAAAGGGAAAACTATGTGTCTAAAGTGATTGCCTATGTCTCTAAAACTTTAGATGCAGCTCAGAAAAACTACACCACTACTGAAAAGGAACTATTTGCAATTGTTTTTATGCTTGATAAGTTCAAACCCTATCTCATAAATTCCAAGGTACTTGTATTTACAGATCACGCAGCCATGAAATATCTCTTCCACAAACCTTAATTGAAGCCGAGGCTCTTGAGGTGGATGTTGATACTTCAAGAATTTGATGTGGAAGTAAAAGATAGAGCTGGCAATGTAAACCATGTAGCGGATCACTTGAACAGACTTCCACTAGAGACAAGAGGAGTATTAGATTCTGACATTATTTGTGATTCTTTCCCTGACCAGTCTTTATGTGCTTTGTCTGTTTCTCAACCATGGTTTGCCTATTTAGTCAACTACCTTGTCATAGGTCTAATTCCTTTTTACTTGATTGCTTTTCAGATTTAGAAGCTCAAGAATGAAGCCTCCTACTACATTGGGACCCACCACATTTATGGAGATTATGTGCTGACTAAGTGAATGGACAGTGCATTCTTGAAGTAGAGGCTCAAGCTATATATTTTAGAAGCTTGCCACGATACCTTATGTGGGGGACACTTTAGTGCTAGAAAGAGGGTTAGGAAAGTGTTAGATGCAGGTTTTTACTGACCTACCCTGTTTAGAAATGCATTCACCTCTTGTAAGGCATGTGATAAATGCCAAAGATTTGGGGGGTGAGTAAAAGAAATGAGATGCCACAATAACCCATTCTTTTCTGTGAGATATTTGATGCTTGAAGGATAGATTTCGTGGGCTCCTTTACACCATCTCATTTAAAAGATGATGCACCCATGGTTTCTAAGTTTCTGAAGTCTACCATCTTTAGTAGATTTGGAGTACCTAAAGTGTTAATCAGTGATTAGGGAACCCACTTTTGCAACAAGTTGCTCACTAACTTGTTGGCTAAATATGGAGTTTTCCACGGAGTGTCTACCCTATACCATCCTTAAACTAATGGGCTAGCTGAGGTGTTAAACAAAGAAATTAAGAGAATTCTAGAGCGAATTGTCAAGCCATCCAACCAAGACTAGAGCTTGAGGTTGGATGATGCATTATGGGCCTACCACATTGAAACATCCTACCTTTAACCCCTCAAAGTGCGCATTATTAAGCATTATGGTTCAAGCAGGTTATGACACAAGCCCGTGGATTTAAAATTTTGACATAAATATTTAGGTTACTATTCACTGTTTAAATTTCAGATTATAGGTCCAACTTCAAAAATTCATAACTAATTTCATAAAAAATCGTATCTCCTTGTGTACACCTCCAATTAAGGTGATCTAGCACTCATTTTAAAGCCTGGGATGTGTACTATAACTGTACCAAATTTCATGGCTTAACTCACTCATTTGATAGGTCAAACTAGAGCTATAAACTCACTGCTTTAGGACCTACGTTTTATCCCTTAACCTCCTTTTTAGTTTAATTCTTTCTATTTCTTTGGCATACATAAATTGGGTTTACACTTTCCCAATCATCCTCATACATTTCTATTCATCCCATAAACATTGTAATTAAATACATGGCATCATTGGTATCCATAACATAAATTACATAATAGGAGAATCACACATTGAATAATAACATCATTCATTCACATCAATAATTCTCCACTTTCTTCTCCTTGCCTCTCATGCCATTATTGCCCACCATTGATTGACCTAAATGGTTGGTTAGGGAGGAGTGAGATTTGGGGGAATCTCAGTAGCAAACACTACCCATAAACATGCAAGACATAATGCATATCATGACATGTTATAACATTAACATATGAATGCCATGAAAAGTAAGCTAAAGCATTTCATGCTTTCATAATATATTGCCAAGGCAAAGCATAACATAAACTTGCAAACATAACTTTGCAAACATTTCATCATAGCTTAGTCATATCATAGCAATACAACCACATCATGCAAGCATACATATCAAGCACACAATACAGGTAAGTTTACTACCTTGTAACATAGCTTTCCTCTTGCTTTTCCTTTGATTCTTTTGTCTTTCCAACCCTATGGATTTTTGGTTAATACCATTAAACATCCTCTTGGATTTTCCAAGGTCCTAAACACATTAATACATGATGCAAAACAATTATTAGAATCAAGTCATCAACTCTACTTGATTCTTTCTTGAACATACTTAAACTCTAACTTTTGAGTTTCAATTCCAACCTTCCTAAAATTATTTTCACATACTATTCCCACATACTTTTGTATGTAGAATCCATTTCCAAGCTCAAAACAATCAAAATCCAATCCTAACCATTTAGAACAATCAAGGCCGAACGGAATCACAAACTAAGGGAAAGTTGGATTTCTTACAAAATCAAGACAGAACGACTTGATTCTTGTTGTTTCCAAGCCTTTAAACATGCTTTTAACATCCATATCATCTTCTCCTATTCCAATAAATTTCGTGCAGCACCTCCCCATAGGATTTCAATCATCAAAAATCCAATCAAACCAACCACCAGCTCAAAAATAACAAGGGAGGTAGAAACTACATCAAAAACAGCACACATACCTTATTTTAGAGCTTGATCTGGCTTGGGATCACTTAGCCTTTCTTTCTCCCTCTTCTTTCTCTCTCTAGAAATCATTTTGCAAGAGCTTCTCTAAGGTTTCCATGGCTTAGAGTGAAATGAGAGGGAGGGGAGGGGTATTTACAGAAAACAAGACCGAATCTCAGTTGTTGATCTTAAAAATACGTGGCTTGATCTGGACCGTCTATTTTCTCTATTTATCTTGTGATGACACGTGTCTTATGACATCATGCTTACTTCATCAAGCCACATGTCTTTAATCCAACCGTACACGTGTTTTGCATCCGACCGTACACGTAATACCTTCTTTTCCGATCTAACCATACACTTGTCTCTTCTATATTCCTTCACCATTTTGGCATTAAAATAGAGAGGAAATTAATATAAAATTCGTCCAAAATATAGCCCTTAGGCATTCCTCTACCTATTTTGCCATCCAGCACCGTATCGGGTACTTTTTTTGAGTCGTGACTAATCCGGTACCACTGGGACATGTTCTGGCACCATTTTCTCATCTTAATTAAGTACATATATGGCGCCATCTTAGAGGAGCATAGATAAAAATAATTAGCTCTACTGACAGGCTACTTAACGTTATTGGGTCACGCAGTAGAGATTTCACTATAACAGGTAGACAAAGGACTGTCAAAAATATTCCCGTACTGCGTTCTGATTTTTATGCTGTCTATAAATATTTTCTGCTGACTCAGCATGATGACTCGTAGGTTTCATGATTGCATTTGGTGACTCAGCATGATGACTCGTAAGTGTCATGATTGTATTTAGTGACTCAGCATGCTGACTCAACGATGTCATGATGGTCTTTAGATATTTTCGTTCTCCTTTTCCCAGAAATATTATTAAATAATACTTAATCAGGGTTACCTTCTCTCGAATTCTTTCTATCGGCTTGTAACTCCGTTGATCTGTCTCTGGGCTTCATTCTTTCTCTTTCATTGCGGGAAATTCCTCTAATTTTTCTCGGGTCAAAAGTCAAACTCTAGACAGCTATTTTGACTTTCCCCGGGTAAGGTATAAATAGGCTTTAAATTTAATTAAAGCTAACCTTGTCAGTTTTTTGGGACAGAATTAATTTTAAAATCTGTGTAAATTCCTTAACTACTGTTCCCTAGTTTTTCCCGGTTATTTGAGGCTGTTTCATAGCTTAAATAATTCAGTTTAAGTTACTATCTCAAATTGTCCAAAATCCTGGAATGACTTCAGGGCATTTCCATCATTTCTTGCCTTATATCGGCTCTGGGATCCTATTCCCATTTTTCTGGAATTTTTCTAAGGATATGTTTGGCTCAATGAGAGGAAGGGGAGGGGAGGGATTTTAATGGAGGGAAGGGGAGGGGAGGGGAGTGGAAGGATTTTAATATTATCTTGTTTGGATTTATAAAAAAAGAGGGGAGGGGAGGGAAAAATATTTTAATATGGACAATTTTGCTCTTATTTTATTTAAGGCATGGGCATAATGGTCACAACATGACAAAATATAGACATAATGGTCACAACATGACAAAATATGGACATAATGGTCACAACATGACAAAATATGGGCATAATGGTCACAACATGACAAAATATGGGCATAATGGTCATAATATGACAAAATATTGCCCTTTCCCTCTAAATCCTCCTAATTTTGGAGGGGAGGTTGAGGAGGGAAGAGGAGGGGAAATTTTAAAAATTTTCCCTCCCCTCCTAAAATTTGTGTTGCTAAATAAGGGGAAATGATTAAAATCCCTCCCCTTCCCTCCTCTCCCTCCCAAATCCCTCATACCAAACACACCCTAAGTCATTTGGGCCCTTTTTGCTAACTCTGAGTACTGGCTGACCAGAACTTTTATTATTTACAATTAGGTCCCTACTTGGCCTAGGAATCTTTTCTTTGCAATTTGGTCCCTCCTTAGGCCTAACCTTCGGAACCATTTGTTGCAAGTTTCTGGCATAACCTCTGGCCCTTAGTTATTTCTAGTTTGTCATTCTTTAGTCCCCGAACACTATTGTTTTACACATTTGCCCTTGGAAAATCTCTTTTTCCTTCTGAGGGATCTTCGAGACTTTCGTTGCATTAGACTTAGTAATCATCCTTTCCTTGTGCTATTAGTTGTATCTATGAGCCAAAATTTGGGATGTTACACACATTTCCTACAAGACACCGATTAGGATGTCTCCATACCGGATCATCTATGAGAAGTCATGTCACATCCCAGTAGAGCTGGAGCATATATCTTATTGGGCGGTTAAGAGCTACAACACTGATCTTAAGGAAGCTGGACTAAACAGACTTCTTCAAATTGAAGAACTTGAAGAAATACATTTGGATACCTACTATAGCTCAGACATCTACAAACAAAAGACTAAGCTCATACATAATGCCAACATCCTAAGGAAAAAGTTCAAGGAGGGTAATAAGGTGTTACGGTACCAAGCTCGATTCAAGTTCAACAAGGGTAAATTCAAAATGAGCTGGGATGGACCTTACATCGTAACAAAAGTGCATGATTTTGGGATGATAGAGCTGAAGGAGGAGGCCACAAGCAAGATGTTCTAATGCAATGGTCATCTCCTCAAGCTCTATGAAGCACCTGCATCGCCTTCTGAAGGTCAGGTCATCTCTTTCCTTTACCTCTTACTTTTCACATGAATTAACTTGTGCCTATATTACCTTACTGTGACCGTTTGAGATTGTGAAAGGGATGTCCTCAGTAGAAGTAGTTTTTTAAAATTCTATTTGTTTTGAATAATCTCCCCTAATTTTGAGTTGGATTTGATTGTGATTATGCTTCTATCACCACCACACACCTAATTACATTCTTGAGTTTTCCTATCCTTGTACTTAGCTTTTTTCTCCTTTCTAGAAGGGTGATGTGTTGTGCTTCAATCCTGAATTGAACTTCACAACTTTTACCTTCGTTGTTTTTGTTTTTAAGCTTTGTGTTTTGGTACGTGACTGTGTGCTGCAATGAGGACATTGCTTTGAGTTTGTGGGGGAGGAAGCTTTTGTTCCTGTTGAGCTTAAAAGTGGTTTTGTGATTTGTTTGTTGGGTTATTCCTTATTATGGTGGTTCTTGCTAAAACGTGCCAAATGTTTTCAAAATTTTTGAAACTTTTGAAAGTTTTCTCTAATCTTCTATCACTTATTTTTGAGTTTTGTATTTAATTGTTGAAAATCTGGTGATGGATTGCTGAGTTGGGTTGTTATTATAGGTATTTTGGTGAGTAGTTTTGGTTTAGGGACTTAGTTTTGAGGTTTTTCAGGGTTTAGAGAGTTAGAGAGCTCTTTGTGACCCTAGGCCGTGACCTCGCTCTATTCGTGTCGTGACCTGGGGGTTAGTCTGAGGAGGGGAGCTCTCGGTGTACTGAAGTTGTGACCTCACTATCTCAAGTCGTGACTAGGGAAAGAAATTAGGTAAAGACTCTCTGTTAGTTAAGGTCACGAGTCTTCAAGTTGCGACCTAGAGCCTTTCTAAAACCCTAAATCCGCTTCTGTCTACTGAAGTTGCGACCTGACCTCCCTCAGGTCGCAACCTGACATGAAAAGTTAGGAGTTTCTTCTGCGAATTTACCTCTCTACCCTTGCTTATTTCTACCCTAATTATTATTTTGCCCCTTAAGCCTGCCCTGGATTGCATCCTTATACATTCCAAAGACTTAGAACCCTAACCTTATAGTTTGAAAATCAAGCCTACTCTTGAGTATAATTCGTCCATCCTGCCATTCCTTTAAGGTTTGCTTTATTTTCCTTTTTGCTCTTTCTAGTTTCAGTTTAGTTTCTAGGGTTTTGATTTTGATTGAATGGAGTTTGGGCTAGATGTTTAAAATGATGTTTAACTCGTTTTAGAATTGCTTGGGATCACATTTTCTGTAAAAGATCAGTTTTTGAATGAACTAGTTTGACCTGCGTTTTTTAAGTTTCTAGGCTTAGGTTGTGACCTCACTTCTCCCTAAGTCACAACCTGAGGTCACAGAGGAGACTCTAAACTTCTGATTCACCCCTGTTGTTTCCAAACTAAAATTTTTCAATGGATTTTGACTCTACCTGTTATGGCTTTTCAAGAAATTAGTTTTAGGCAATTGAAAATTATAAATGCTTGGGTTTTCTCATGATTTTCCCAATGGTTTTAAACTGCAAGTGTCTGAATTCAAATTTTAAGATTTCATAAAAGTGAGTCTGGCAAGGGGTAGCTGTAGGTTTAGTGTGGGGAAGTGCTTAGTTCCTAGACTTCGTGTAGGTTTTAGTTTCTTTTGTAGAGTTGTTTGTTTTGTGTGTTTACTTTGGTTGTTTGTTGTGTGTTTGTTTTGTGCTCAGATGCCTCACACCAAGAACCCTGAGCCTTCAAGCTCAAGAAAGCCTCGCACTCATGAGGAGACCCGGCTTTTCAAGGAGGAAGCAGTAAAGATGTTTGCCAATGGGGAGTAGTACAAGAGTGATATTTTCCAGAGACCAACAAGTATGACTTTTACAAGCTCGCCAAGGCGCGAGGCTCAGGGGAGCTTATGAAGAAGAGGAATAAGGTCAATTTGACTTTGGTGAGGGAATTCTATGCTTGTCCTACAATAGACGGGTGAATGGGGATCACCTTCAGAGGAGGTGAGTGTTATTTCAGTTGGGCTACTATTGAGGCATTCTACAAGCTGCTTAATGTCCCTGTTTACGAGTTCTAACTTTAGAAGACCAGACTTGATGAAGTCCCTTGGAATGAGGTCTTTCAAACTATCAGAGTCGAGGGAGCTGGCTGGACTGTGAAGGAGAGTAGGTGAAACTGCTTTGAGCACAAGAACATAAATAATGAGACCAGGATTTGGCTCAACTTTATGTCTGATAATGTTATGCCAGTAGCCCACATTTCTGATGTCTCTGAAGAGGGTGCACTCCTTTTGTATCTCTTGATGACCCAGCAGCCAGTTGACATTCTTGTCATAGCTGTGGACTAGATTGGATATTGTGTCAACAATGTTCAGACTCTCTTGGTGTTCTCGTACTTAATCACCGATATGTGTACAGCAAAGGGGATACCAACGCGTAAGTTTGACCTTACCTTGTAACCTACCACGACTAGATGCTATTTTGCCTCCAAGTCTAATAGAGCTAGGAAGAGAGGAAAGAGGGTAATAGAGGAGGATCCAGAAGAGGAGGCAGCTGAGGGTGGCTCTAGTTTCACCCTCGCCTCCTTAAGTGAGCAGATTACTACCCCTAGTTAGCAAGTGACTAATATGAGTGGGGAGCTTCAGGAGCATAGGGCTATTGTTATGGCTAATGAATGTAGAAGGCAGAGATTCATAGATCCACTAATATTGGAAATGGCCAGAGCTCAAAAGGTCACTTACCCTCCAAGCGACAACCAAGCCTTTTGGCAAAGTTCCATTCCTGCCACGAGCTTCTTCACTGGGGATCCGGGGCAGTCTTCTGGTTCTGTTGCTGCTACTAATACTGAAATGGGAGAAGCGAGTGTTCAGCTAGGAGAGGATGTTGGGACTAAAGAAGAGAGAAGAGAGGAGGAAGATTGGGAGTCTTTCCATTTAGAGTCTTTTGTTTTTAAGTTTTCTTTCCTTGTTTTCTGTTGCTTTATCCTGCAAGCTATGTACTTAAAAGGTTTAACTTTGATGTATCTAAACTTATTGCAATGAATGGTTTGTTTTCTATGTTTTTAATTGTGGTGGCTGATGTTCTTTTTCCCTTTCCCTTTGACAGTAAGGACATTGTCAAGTTTAAGTATGGGGGAGGGATTCATTTTTGCTTTGTTGCATTGCCAATGTTGCATTGTTCTTGTGGTTGCTTCAAATTTTTGGCAAGTTGTTTTGAAAATCTAATCTTTCATCATCATTCTTTGGTTTTGAATTGATTGTGGATGGTGAATTGCTATGAATTGGACCGTCTTTGACTATTTTGGTGCTTGCTGAAAAGGTTTTACTAGTTGAAATTGTTTAGGCTTTGAAAATTTTTTGTTTGGTAGCTTTCTGTGAAGCCACATTGCGACCTCACTGCTTCAGGTCTCGACCTTAGATGTGGTTTTGGCAAGGGAGGGCTTTTTGTGTATTCAGGTCGCGACCTTACTGATCTCAAGTCATGACCTCAACCTCCCGTCTTTATTTGGTGCTCTCTGTGATCCCAAGTCGTGACTTCACTGTTTTTAGGTCGCGACTTGGACCATTTTTTTATGCACTACTTTCCTTCTCTTTGCTTTTTGCAATGCTGTATAGGAGGAAACTTTTTAATCTACCTTTACACATTTTCCAAGCAAAATCATTGCCTTTGTAATCTAACCTCATTGCATCAAACAACTCTTTCAAAAACCATACCACTCTTGATTCTTAGAATTTTGGATTTTGAAAATGACTTCTCTAAGACTTTATGAGTACCTTCAAGACCCAGTATGTTTTTAGGTGATTATTTTGATCTTTTTAATCACCACCCTGTGGTTGTCTTTTATGATAAGTGTCCTAATGCTTTGTGACTAATACATGTTTATTGAAACTTTGTGTATGAGCATTTGAGATATGAAACCCTTGTTGGAAGGATTTTCTTGAGCCTTAATTCCTAAATTGAGTGATTATTCATTGGTTCACATCCTCTAGAACCTGTCTTAGCTCTTGGTCAAAATTACATGTGCATTTATAATTTTTGAATATGATAGAGGGCATTCTTTTCTACAACCATTTTACCCAAACACAATCCATAAACATTTATCTATTATTTAACCTTTTTGATCCTTCACTTCCTTCATTTCATTCACATTTTGAGTGTTCAAGTTACAACTTTCACCTGAGTTTATTTCATCTATACATTCGAGATTTTCTTAACCTTTATGGGTCTTTTTCGGGCATATCATTTTGAATAAAAACAGTGAAAAGAAGAAGAAAGAAAGAAGACAAAAAGGAAAGAAAAAAAGTAAATATCCATATGTAATACATGTTTACAAACTTAAGCTATAGCAACAAGATAAAGTTAAATAAAGTATCCCCTTGGTGGTAGAAGGTTAGGATTTGAACTTTTTTGTTTAAGAATAGATGATATTTAACTCACGTTACTTTCATTCTTGACACTCAGTTTCACCACATTTCCATTCCATTTCACCTTTCCATCACTACAACCCTAAAAGCCCTCTTGATTCTTAACATGAATGCTAAATAGTAGTGGAGATTTTAGAGTTGTTACAAGCTTATGGTAGGATGTTTGCACTTGAATTTTAAGTGAAAATAACCTCAATAAGGAGAGAAGAGTGAGTTAAAACACTTACATCCCTTGAGCGAATCTCTGTTGTTCATGTACTTAGAGTCAATTGCACTTTGTATCTAATTACTTGGCATTATTCATGTTATCATTTTTGTTTTCCTAAGAGGTGTTGATTAGTTAGTTCTTAAAATCCCTTTTGAACATACTAGTTTCCTTGATTGTGCCTATACTTTCTTTGGAATGATTTAAATCTTTGTCTAGGAGTACAAAAGTTCAAGTGTGGAGGAGTAAGAGAACCCTATCTTTATATGATTTTCTCAAGTATTTTCTAATGTTTTGCAACACTTTTACCCTCATTATGCATGCATTTATATCCA